AGAGAGAGAAGGAGAGAGAGAGAGAGAGAGAGAGGAAGAGAGAGAAAGAGGGAAGAGAGAGAGAGAGAGAGAGAGACAGAGACAGAGACGGGAAAGCAGAGAGAGAGAGAGGAGAGAGAAGAGAAGGAGAGAAGAAGAGAGAGAGAGGAGAGAGGAGAGGGAGGGATGAGCAAGAGGGGACAAGACTTACAGTGGGGGACGGTTAAGTAAATGGAAGTAATGCCTCCCAGGCTCAATAAATAGCCGTCTAGTCTGATGCCGATAGTGTCGAAGGGCAAAAGTAATACAAATGGCTGTGCCTTATCCAACCCGGTTTGTGGTGGCAGTTTAGACATTGATCGTTTTAATCGCTTGGCTCATGTCCCTGGCTGTTCTGTCAGCCCTTTACATTCACCTTCTCCCGCTCCTCCTCCATCCTTAGCCGTCAGAAGCTTACCTCCGACCATCCGTGCACCCTGACCGACTGGCCGCCTCAGAGGAGGCTCAGCTTTTCGCCAGGTGATTTTTCACGCCGCTGAGCCCCTATCCTGCTCCAGCAGCTAATGCCGTGACTCACAGAGCTGCCGGTCGGGGCAGCTGCCCGTGCAGCTGTCCCCCGGGTCCGGGAGACGCGGAGGTCACTAGGTTCATCCCTCGTGCGTCATCACAGGTCTCCAAGCAGCTCCTTTCTGAGCCTGGGACTTTCGGTGCCCCTGAGCCCTGAGGCCCGAGGTCTGCCAGGAGCGAAACCTTGTCGGTCAGTTCACCATGCGCTATCGCGCGTAGTATAGCTCTAAAAACTACCCCATGAGGGATTAACTCATGTGGTCAGTATGAAGCCACGGATGGGATGGTCGAGTTTTGCGACCGGGAGCTGCTGTTCGTAAGACAGACGTATAGCTAGAAGTCAGGTACGGGGAACTGAGTGGAGACGGGAGGGAGCTGCTGATGTCATCCTTGGAGAGGAGAGCGGCGGGAAGGGTGTCGGTGTGGTCAGAAAACAAGGCTGCTAAACTTCGCTACGTCCAGTCCAGAAGCTGTTGAAATACGGGTAGGCATGTTTTGTGGAATGTGAAACTTTTTTGGTCCGTTCTGTTTCGTCTTACCTTATCTGTCTCGCTACGTTATCATGAAAACGTAATGAGACACATAAGATAGCGTAGCAACGCTGTGTCCCATTGTTTCTGTCGGGTCCCGTGTGACCACTTTATTAGTTCAAACATAATGAATTGGCTCGGCTCTCAATCTGAACGGGTCCGTTTTCGCAGCCCACTAACTGTTCGTTGATTATACTTGCAATGTACGGTGATAAAATGCCAAACTGGCTGGTGTACCTAACTCGCTTCAATTCATCTTTTATGCATATCTTCACCGTCTCGACTCAGATTTTAAGTAAGGCTTGAGTGCTTATCTCAAGCTGCCTGTTTACCTCTTCTCTCATATTCACCTCTCACCTCTCTCTCTCTCTCTCTCTCTCTCTCTCTCTCTCTCTCTCTCTCTCTCTCTCTCTCTCTCTCTCTCTCTCTCTCTCTCTCTCTCTCTCTCTCTCTCTCTCTCTCTCTCTCTCTCTCTCTCTCCCTCTCAAGCAAACCTCTTTGCGGCGTCTTATACGACATGGGGACATTTGAACATACCCACAGCTTGCCGCCGGATCAGCCCAGTAATCTGTCCCCGCCAACGGCTGGGAGACCAGGGACCTTGTGCTGAGGGGTGCCCTGAGCCGGGATCATGACTGCGCGGCGGGCCGTCGATGTGCCGGAATATGGCACCCGTGGGCAGAGTTTAGCGGCATGATTTTCAGCTGGTTATGTGGTGTATGGCTGGGGTGCCGATTGCTAACGTCGGCTCGCCACGGGAGATCCAGGGTTGAAGCGAAGTTATGCGTAGTGATTGGGATTATCTGTTTGATAATGAGATATAGCATTGCCTGGCTCGAAGGCTAATGGCTATGCAAACCAGCTGCTCACTTGCTTTATTTTTATCGTATCTTGCCTCGCCTCTTCTTGTCGGAAAAGGTGCGATACCATTGTACATACATATAACTGATAAGTTTGGTCGATAAGAGCTTTTTTTGGATGGGATAGTCCCTATAGTATTAACCCGCGCACCGACGGGGGTCTGCGCCAACTTCGCACCGACGGGGGGGGGGGGCGGATGACCGCCCCCCCCCCTGAGATCTCGAGAACGAAGCAAGATAGCGACAAGCGGTAAACGGCATCGGATACGCACGGTCAAGATCTACAATTTTTACTAAGGTCATTTTCAGGTCAGGTCAAAGATGACGTCACAGGGGTCGAAAAAGTCAAAATAGCGGCGCTAGATATTGAGAGAGTTTTTCTCGAATAACTTTCGAACTAGTCAAGATAGGAACAAACTAAGGGCATCATCGTGATTCTCTCGTCAATCCGCATCGAATGATATATATGTTGACCTCGAAAGGTCAAGGTCAAAGGTTGACATCAGGTTACGTGACCTCGAGGTCATCATGTATATCATTCGATGCGTCTTGACGAGCTGAACACAATGAGACCATCCACGCGGCTGTATCTTGTTCCTGTACGGAGTTATTGGCCAAAAACCTTTGGTGACCTTTGATGACGTCACATGACCTCACAGCTGCCCAACAACAAAACAGACCTCAAGGTAGTGAAGGTTGATCGTATATAAAGTCATGTATGGTATATGGGGCCATTCCGACCCGTTTTAGTGGTAAAAATAGGGAGTTGATTTTTCCCCCATTGACTTATAATGGGGAGGTCGCGAAATTGACCTGACCTTAGGTCACCGATATCAAAATTCCGAGATATACAAATTTTAGCTACCAATGACCTAATAACATCCTGCGACTTTCAAAGGTCTCCGACATCTACTGTAGCTCTGGCACGGTGACAAAGTTGCAAAAAAGTGACTTGAGGTTGGGTCATTCAAAGTGACCTGGTGACCTGACCTTAAAAGGTAGGAGGCTCAAACTTGCACACCATGTGTAAAATTGATGACGATATAGTCATACCAAATTTCGCGGCGCTACGCGCCGCGGTTTTCCCGCTATTCGCGAAAAACCTCAGGGGGGGGGGGCGGATATCCGCCCCCCCCCGTCGGTGCGCGGGTTAACATTAGTGGGTGTGCTGGGAAAAGCCAGAACACCAACATGTTCCAAGTATAGCGCTCACCTGGCCTATAGCAAACTGTAAACATTGTCCTTATCTGAGCTCAGTCTGAGTGTTATCAATCAGGCCCATCATCACCTGCCCAGTGAACATCCGGCGTCCCAAGGCCAGCTCACGACATCCGAAATATGACTGGAGACCAATTATGCTCCGCCAGTCGTGCAGTGTTGTAAGAGATCTGCGGTTTTAACGATCTCTGAGATCACGGCAACCATGAGGATCATGCATGATCGCTGGTCATTGTGGCCAAGCATGAAATGATCATCGGGATGAGAAAAAAAAATGCTATCAACCTGACTACCTGCTGAAGTTATAAAAAAGACCGTATCTACGAGCATGCCTGCACTCCACAGTTCACACTCGGTAAACGTGGTAGTATCTGTTCTAGTAACGCTCATTAATGTCACACAAACAAGTGCTATACGTCAGGGGCGGATCCAGAAAATCTCCAAGGGAGGGGCCATTAGAAACCAGGAGGCCCCCCCCCATAATTCCACCTGTTGGAGGCCCCATCTTCCCACTTGTTGGGCCCCCCCCCCCCCAAAAAAAAACTGCGTCTATTGAGCTTATCTAGCTGTTCAGGCACCATCTCAACATCTGTGCAGGCTTGGAGGCCCTCTGTGCAGGTTAGGAGGCCCTGTAAAAGTGGTCATCTCTGTGAGTATAAGAGACCTCCAAGTTATGAAAAGCTTTACCAATCTTCTAACAAAGAAGTCTTCTCAGCTAGTCTTCTAAGAAATAACTAAGAAGGTAGGTTAAAAAAAACTCATCGGATTTCGGCCACTTTATTTTCAGGAGGCCCCCTTTTCAGCTTTTTAACTTTTTAACTTTTTATTTTATTTTTGAAAAAAATCGGCCAAGGGGGGGCCATGGCCCCATGGCCCCCCCCCTTGTATCCGCGCCTGCTATACGTGAACTGGAGTCATGAGCACGGCTCACGCCTGCGGGATTTTAATCTCCCAGCAATGACTCGGGCGTGCCGTGGCCCATATCATACAGACTGCATGTCATCTATCCCGTGCTGCGTCACTGGCCAACCAAAACTTTAACACAGGCTGACTCTCAGAGGCAAAATTAATCCAAACAACAATCAGTGAACGCTCAACGTTCAACGTATGTGATCCTGTAATTGTATGTGCCGATGGCGAATATTCGTCATATCATTGAACATTCTCGACGAAGCGTAACGATTTGGATTCGTCACCCGCCCATTATCAAATCCATATATCAAACTGTCACTTCAAACTAAGTGACACCGCTGCATGACGGAACGGTATGCACTGTGGCAACCACTAAAGTGCTTCAATCGTGGGTGGCTCTACAGCGCCGCTAGTAAAACCCGCCACCCGCGCATGGCAAATACGCAGTTTTAATTAGCAACCCATTGCGCCACCGACCGGCACGTAGATATGTCCATTATCACCAGCTCTATCGTCGGCTGACGTTGCCCAACCTACCTGGCACTTGTACTCGATGTTGGCATAGAATCCGTCTATGCGGTCCTTGCAGTCGTATTTGATCTTCTTGGGTACGCGGCTGAAGAACGGGTAGCCGGTCATGTTGTATCCCCGCAGCTCGCGCGGGTAGTTGGGGTCAAATTGCCAGTCGATTTGAGGGTCGCCGGTGAACCTCGGGTCCTGCTTCTTGCTGCCGCTGGTACTGGTGGCGGGACTGCTGGTTTCAGAGGCCGCTGTGCTGGCTTCAGAGGTCGCTGTGCTGGTCTCCTGACCGGCACAGCACACCACCAGGGCGGCTGCAATAAGGAGAGGACTTTGTGAGATGCATGCTTGGTTTCGCTTAGACTTTTGTATGGTGTAAGCATGATGATATGATAATTTATACCATATTTATACATAAAACTATACATCGTTAGGCCGGTAAATATCTACTTGGCGTGCTATAAGTGTCAGTGATATTTTATTGGATGTACCGTAGAAAATATTTATTTTTGATAATCGTGAAATAAAAATTTTTATTGCTACCATCACACTGCTTCGTGGTAGTCATAAATTGTGTTTTGGTAGCCACAAGTACCAAAGAAATGCAATATTATCCGTGAAAATAACGCGTAAGTAATACGAAATAAGCGGAAATTATTGTCTCAGCGATGCTGTAATAGTTCAGGGACGATCGGCACATGTTTCGTCCCCACCATGATTGGTGGGCTTAGTAGCCCAACAGCAAGGAGAAGATTTGATCCGCTGAAATCCGATGTCCATGAATTAACACAGCTGTCCTACTAACCATGTTCACACATCATGGGTGCAATTTTACCGAGTGATATTAGTGCATGATAAAGATGCCTACATATGCGATGCACGTAGACATATTAATGGATGGATTGACACTTGACAACAAATGGATGGGTGTATTTAGCAACAAAAAAGAGAAGAATTGATTGTGGACACCCATTACGAATCACGCGTTTATCCATTATTGCTAAGCCTCAGGTGAAGGCTTTTCTGTGACGCATCCCGTTTGTATAGTGCCCCAGCAACAGTCACGTGACCAGTTTTACGTCTCCATAATTCAGTCTTATATGTCCGTATCTGATTTGGTTGTTGCGCTTACATGTCAACCATCCACATCCAAGGAGGTCGGAATGCTTGTGAATCGCAAAATCGATCGCAAAAAGACGTGAAAAGTGGAACAGCAGGATCCTTCGGATCATTTTAGACGCTTCCCAGATTTAACTTTCTTCATGAAGGCCAAGCTTGCTGGCTTTGATTTGTATTGAAGTGATTTCTCGCATCGCACAGGTAATATTTTAGGTTTTTACATTCATTCATGGTTCAAGGCTGCAGGGACTTCGGTGTCCGAAAATATCGACAGCATTTGGTGTCTTTCAATAAAATGATTGGTATTAAATTAGCTACAGATCGCTTTCTTTTACGAGACATGTAAGAAAAATTAAACTGCTAGTTGTCATACAACATGACTTATAAGTTATAGCATACCAATTATTAAGATCGCTGTCCTTGCCGCACAAAGCTCGTATTACCGTCATAAGAGCTACAATTTGATATATCTGCTAAGCTGTACATTAATATGGCATTACACAGTACCTACATCAGTTCGATCACACATTAGTATGGCTGCCCGCGAAGCAATCAGTAATGCCATGCTTCAAGGTATGCCATAGCGACAGAAGGGTCTACATATACGACATTGCTGGTCGTACACCCGACCTTAGCGTACCATTTGCAAATGCATGCTTGTGCACTGTGCAGCCTAATAGCATTTGAATCAAATTCCAACCGTTTTAATCAAAGCGGCTGACCTCGGGTAGCATCATGGGGATATTGCTGGTTCGGGTAAGGCTGATTTATTTTCAACCAGAGTTTCCTTCAAACAATACCCTAGGATGCCACGGATGCAATCCCATTGTCTAGGAACAAGAACCGATAAAAGTAAAGCTAACTACGCACGATTCTGTCAGCTTGACGTCCAGTCAATGCAAAAAAAAAAAACTAGGGCAGACAGGCCTGGTTACTGTAACGAGAAAATTTCGTTAGATCTTGTTCGTCGGGTTTCGGAAGAGGGCGAAATTCGTGCAAAATTAGCGGATTGTCAGATTTTGCAAAAAAAAGGTTTGTGCCATAAATGCAATGGTAGCATTGTATTGAACGGATTTGAAATTAAAACAGGTCATATCTTGATTGGCGGATCCAGCCGGACGTTTCGGGGAGGGGGGGAGAGGGGGCAAATGGCTGAAATGGCCCCTTTCTTTCCATGCACCGCCATAGGCGTAATGTAAAACCTCGGGTCTTTTGGGGGACCAAACGGGCTTGGGGGATGGCCCTAAATGCCCCCCCCCCCCCTGGATTAGCCAGTGCTTATCTTTATTAGGTATATTACGAAACATCCAAATCACTGTTGCTACTTGCTAGGCCACCAACTTTATGCACAACACAGTACGGCATTGAAAACCTATCAGCAATAACTAGGTAGTTATGTGGTCTACAATTTTTGGAAGCACATTGCCAAATATCCTATGTTTTTTCGTAGAAGGTAGGCTAAATGTCACTCACAGAGGCTTACGATGCGGTGATACATGACTCCTATATCAATTATACCGTCATCTTCCGCGGTGGCCTTGTATTGTGAAGAGTCTGACAAAATGAAGCGTGACACGACCATCAGCACCCGGGGAAAAGAGACACAGCATCTTGCGACTCCCTCAATGAACGTATCCCTGTCATGAACATTGTCAAATACAACCCCATGGACGGTAATGGCATTTGTAAGCACAATGCACCCTTACTTAAATGAGAAGTGATTTGGGTGTTCAACTCGGCAATCTTCACGTCAATGGCTGGTTTTACGACTTCGATTGTGGCAGATAAGCCAGCTCGTGATTCGAGAGTATTCAGGAATTCACCGGAAAACTACTGGCTATCGTAAAAATAACCGACGACATGGAATATATAACAAGAGAACTGTGCATATAGTTTGACTGCATTGGTACACACTGATCGTGATATGAATGATAGATATAGAATGTCTTTTATCAAATCTAGTTTTACCTTTCTTGATCCCACAATGACACTGCCTCTCGGAACAGCGAGCGTCGAGTCGTTGTCTCTTCTCACTAATGAGCAGTGTTCATTAGCGGGCTGCGAGACCCGGTCGACGGGCCACCAGTCCGACTGAGCGGCCTTTGTCGACACCGGCCCTCCGCCGTCTCGGTCGATGCGTCCGTATGTGGCGAGACAGTTTCACTATACCCAGCTCCGTGAGACAGCCGAGAGTTAATGAGAGTTAATTATCCCGCCGGTCAACGGTCGCACTTTCGCCCCAGAAAACCTGCCGGCCGCCGTGTGGTGGCACTCAGGGCTGAGCCTAGTTAACCGAGAACAATGTGAATGCTGATGACAGAATCAACTGTAATGGCCATGGACTTATATTACAGGGGTAGTCGAAAGTTATGTTCTAGAGACACGAATGCTTTACGCAGTTGTTTTAGCAATGTTGGCTATGTTGGGTCAGGCCCCTAAGGGAGACAGTGGACCGGGTCGGCTATCCACCGGTGCATCAAAGCGTGAGAGTCCGGGTCCGTCCCATTCCCGTGAAGGCACGTTCCGTAGGGACAGACCACCCCATGCCACGCATACGTTAGCCCCGCAGAGACCAAGGAAGTGTCGAAAGGAAAGTAACATTGAAGTTATGATGGAACACATCTGCTTCAGCATTCATAGCATAACAATATCAACATAAACATGAAGCAAGGATGGTAAACTTAATCGCAAATGTCATTGCGGTCACAATCGTTTCCCACACTAGAATGTGGCTCAGTACACCCGCATTGTCACAAACAGACACGACCAGCATGATGTCACCAGTCACCACCCACAAAAAGTGCAGCTTCGGTGACATAATAAATCCCTATAAATCTTCTAGTGTCCAGATCTTACACAGAAGTATATGTAGTAGAACAAAAATCTCGGGCCTCAAGTATGGCATTCTAGCAGCTCTTTATCTTTTCCCAATCATGATTTTTCATCTTGCGCTTGCTTGGTTTCTAAGAGGTGCCGAACTAAGTGACGGTTGAACCTTCAGTTTGTGCTCTGCAAGGTGCCGGTCGAGATATGGCCCAACTGGATCAAGGTAATCGAGATGATAAATCAAGCAATACTGCTCAGATGTAACTGATAAGGTCGCGGTAAAAATAGAATGATTGGCTAAGAAAGAAGCCGTGAAGTGCCAGATTTGGGTGACAAAGTATGTGTAGGTATCGGTGTGCAATTCACTTAGATTAGCCGAACAAATGTTAGTGTGGGGAGCAAAGCGTGATTATTTCTTTAGAGTGTGCTTAATTTCTATCAGCTCATAAGAACAAAACAAAAACTCGTGCGGTATGCCGCTATATGCGATACTTGGCCATAAATGTAATGGTCTAAGCAATGCTGAGGGCCCGAATGATACAGGCCCTAGATTTTGTTCTAAATCAAAACTTGTCAATGCGCCGCTTTGACATTGTTTGGGCTGTAGTTTTGGTTTATTTGAGATCTAGCCTGTCTACAATATCGTGAACGGTGCACTGCTGATATTTAATTTGGGGTAGCTTTGGACCCTGTCGCTACTTGCTACACGTCCAGACATTTTCGTCCAATCCGTCAGAAGGGCTAGTTAAATGTGTTATTTTCCTAGATCTTCTTCTTTTGCCGTGTTCCAACTGAAGACGGTAACAAATATTTAAAATGTGGTTCATTTTCGAGCATGAGGTTCATGCTGTGTAAGCATCGATTTTTCAGTGAATGAGAAAACTTTATTTTTAGCCATATTCCAAAGCTATGATTGATTTGTTTGTTCCATGAGATAACAGCTCATCGTAATTCATCTGTGGCGTCACCACTGAATGCATGTTGTGGGCATTGCTTGCTGAGCAGCGCGGCAGGACTTTTTGTTGCGAATAAACGTCAAGTTGTGCCATTAATAACCTCTAATCCCGTAATTGTTATCACATGTCGGAGAAAGGTACAAGGATCTGATAGATCTTATATAGCAGAAAATGTGACTGGCGGCGTAAACAATTTGCCCTACCCCTGTGTTACCCTCGTCGGAACGGGTAGGGATGTGATGCAGCCCCTTCTGAAGACTATTCACAAATATAAATATCTCTAGGACGCCTGAGCAAGATGGACCGAAATTTACTTAAGTTTTGCAATTACACTTTGGAAATATTGCCTAGAAAGCGAGCGAAATAACTAAAGTTCATCATTCGACACGCCTTCAGAAGACAAATATGACGGTCGTTTTTCTGTGTAAATACATTTGTATTTTCGAGGGTCACTTGCCAAAAACCTGTCCTGATTCCCGGGTCACAAAACTGACCTGGAAGGTCACCAGCTGACTTAATGCGCATATATTGCTCATGTGGGCTGCTAAAGAAGCATACATAAATACGTTTAGTGCTGCTAGATCTTCGGAGCCTTGACTCTGAAGTTTGAAACATGGTTTACGTTTCACGCCAAAGAGCACATGAGAACAGCACATAATACCTCCTCGGTTTGTAATCCTGTGATTTCAGCGCCTATGTTGTCCCGAGTTGCGGTCTCTGTGAATGGTCCGCGGTTGTGACTGCAGTTGGCTGTCCTTGACTGCGTAAATTGCCGCTGATGATCGCCTGAAAAAGACGTCATTACAGCTCCCGCACGACCTGACCCGGTCGGATACTCGTCTCCACACGCAGTCGTGGGCAGAGGATCGGAGTAGCCGTGACCCGGCGTGCAGTGGACTCCACTCCATCACTCTTTCTTCTGCTGGTCACTGGCAAATCTAGCTAACTAGAACAGTGCAATGAACGAAAAGCTGCTTCACCACTATGTGGCAAAACTCATGGCATTTACATGAATGGAAAAGCTGTTTCATCACGTGAGATGGCTTGCTTACACGACAGACCAACAGGTGAGATACGCGAGATGCTGGCGCTTTTCGTAACGCTCCCGTGCTGGAGAGGTGATCGGTCACGACGGTCGTGCCCTCCCCTCCCTCCCCCTCTACCCGTCCCCACTCGGCTCGGCACGACCCACAACCGATGCGTTTCGGTACAGCTTCGGGTGCCCGCTCATTTCATCAGCGCCGAAATCGATGCTATCGCTGCACGACCTAGCTGCAGACGATCTGACTCGCTCCTGCCTGATCTGACCCGAGCTGACCCGATCTGAACCGACCTTACTGACCTCCCCCATTGCCCTGTGATTCACAACCCTGGGCTCTCGTGCAGAATCCGACCGTGACGTGCACCCGTCTGCCGCGCCTCTGGCCACACCGCGCCTCTCGGGTGTGGAGAACAGGCCCCTGACACGGGATCCGTCACGCCGTGTGCGTGCGACACGCCTCGTCTGTTCTCCCAGAGATGTGCACGGTGTTAACTCAGCACGGATTGGCCACTCACCGGTGATGGTGACGGTCCGCGCCAGACGCGACATCCTGATCAGATCGCCGCCCGCTGAAACACAGGAGTAGAACACGTTAGGGTATAGTATCTAGCTAGCTGGCCAGAGACATTGCTGATAAATATGAGCTAATAATGCCAACTAAAACCAGACACCCAAAATGTTCCCCGGTGAAACTTTGCCCTAACTAAATAGGTACTCATTTCAAGAATTAATTTTTGTTCGAGCTGATTAGGACTTAGGAGAGATATGTCACTAATTGTGAAGTGGCGTTCAGGCGTTATCATTTGTAAAACAAAAACGTTTCCGATTCCTATGACAGACTAAACTATGGTAAATGATATATAAAAAACGACAATGTATTCAAATACACAATTAAAAAACAGTGGTTTACATTGTCGTTTCTTATATATATCTGTCATGGATAACACACATATGGTAAATCATTTTGATGGTATGGAATTGAATCATTCAAACACGATTAGCGTGGAGAATATTTCGACTTGAGACGAATGCATTGACCCACGATGATAATAATTTCATAGCATGTGTAGAGAAATTCAGTGAGCATACTTTTCTGACGCTGAACCGGCATATCTGCTTTCCAAAAACTATTGTTCAACCCACAATTCCAGGTGACCCATCTTCTGGAACAGTGTATGCATCTTCCTGCTGACAGTTGGCGGTGCACTTCAATCTGCCGAGCCTCTGTGCAACCTGTGCAACACGCGTGCACCTGCATATACAATCCGTAACGTACCCATGCACAATGCACATTCCGTGTTGAGGAGGCTCACTTTCGAAAAAAGTGCGGATGCGGCACGTGCGTGCCATTCTGCGCCGCCCCACTGACCTGTTGTGGGGCACTTAACCGGCCCGCTCGTGCACCGTGGCGCAGCGAGGCATCAGGGCAGGGGAAAGGCGGCGGCTGTCTGGGACATGATACCGGCTACCGCCTCAACTGCTCGTATGCAATGGCATTAGACAGTTCAAAGCCCGGAAACACTGAACTATTGTAACGCCCGACCTCTGTGATTTGCCCTCATTCTTATAAGTTCTCACACCAACCAACTTAAGCTTCTCTCTCTCTCTCTCTCTCTCTCTCTCTCTCTCTCTCTCTCTCTCTCTCTCTCTCTCTCTCTCTCTCTCTCTCTCTCTCTCTCTCTCTCTCTCTCTCTCTCTCTCTCTCTCGCTCTCTCTCTCTCTCGCTCTCTCGCTCTCTCGCTCTCTCTCTCTCTCTCGCTCTCTCTCTCTCTTCTCTCTCCTCTCCTCTCTCTCTCTCCTCTCCTCTCTCTCTCTCTCTCTCTCTCTCTCTCTCTCTCTCTCTCTCTCTCTCTCTCTCTCTCTCTCTCTTCTCCTTTTCTTACCGGCTCGGTCATGTCCCATGTTAGCAATCAATGAATAGGTCTGAACGATTGCATCAAAAGGCTGCGCTGGCGCCAGCCTTCATACATTCGCTAGGTCTCAACTGGAGAGGTCAGTGTAACTTACTTCGAGTTTAGTGGCTTGTTTATCGTCTGACATGCAGGCGCGGTATTAGCGTCAATGTACAGCTGAGCTGTGGTGAATGGGATCGGAATATACAGCCGGCCACTGGCCATAAGGCATTTATCATTTATTGTTTGTCACACACTCGACCGCTGCAGGGCTGCGATAACTTTTTCCGAGAATTATTCTGTACAGCGGATAAAGCTGTTTGTTTCCACACTTTACTCTCGCGGACAGGCAAGGCTGAACACAAACTTTCACTCGCCGCATGCCAACGATTGCGTACCCCTAAAGAGTGGATACTAAAAGTGGGGAATGGCTCACTTCAACCGGGTAAGCGGACTCGCTAAGCCGTTCGCGCGAGTCAAAGCACACTGAGTCTTCGTTATCAGCTTTGCCTCTTTTCGTCGTCACTTGCAGTCAGGCACAAAGTGGCTTGCTGTTGTTGCAACACGGTCGGCGCGACATTCTGTCCGTGATCGCCGTAGCCGGCATTCGTGGCATTATCGCCAACAGTCATGAAGATGGTAGAAGCGACGGTGTGCAAACAAAATGTGTGAATAGACAAGTGTTCTTGATTTAAAAATTATTGCTTGATGTTAAAAGTAGTGATTTTTTAAATAAATGTAGTATGTACCCAGACACTGAGGGTCAACACGTACTTGAAGTGCTAAAATATTTAGTTCGTTTAGTGCTTTATGCATTGGGCGCTAAAGTCAATAAATTGATTGCGTTAATTGATAGGTATTCGTTGTCCATGACAGGTTATAAAATAAGTCATTTTAACATCTCATGTAAAAGAATGAAATTACTAAGTGACAAACAATAGCCATCAACACAGTATGTGGTTATCGTCAGATTAGATCAGAAACGATCAGCTGTGGAACTATTTATGACAAGAAGCATAAACCAGTCATTAATTGACCATTAGTTCTGGCTCTGGCCATGCTCATTGCTCACGTTATCAAACAACTCACTACAGAACCAATGATGAAAAAACAAACACCCATTCGACTCGCCTCACTCGCTACTGAAGCCAGTGAATATCACCGAACATGCCAGAAAGCAGTGTTAAGGAGGGTAGGTTGTCCATATCACGTCTCTCTACCATGTGGTGAAAGCCTGGCGCGTGTCGGCCGGGTGCACAGCGCGGTCGCGCCGCGACGGAAGCCAGTCATCAGCCGTCGGGGGCGACATTGGCCGACTGCTCCCAATGTGGCCGCTGGGCGGACCAAGGGCGGGGCGATCCGGAGCGACGACCGCCGGGCGATGGAGGGACAGACAGGCAGCGACTGCGCGAGGAGAGGGAATCGGGGCGCCGTGTGGTACCGGCTGATTGAGTTTGACAGCGCGGAGCGGGTCAGCGTCAGACAGATGTGACGCGGGCGACGGACAGACGACGGACGGGCGACGCACGGACGACGCACGGACGGACGGCACGCCTGGAAAACCCTGAGCCAGGTGCGCCGTCGTGACGGATCGGGGCGTCGTGACAGTTGCGGGCGCTGACCGGAAGGTCTGGGCGCGTCGCTCGATGGCCCATGGGACGCAGGTTACGCAAAGGGAGTCTGAGCCACTTGGGATGCAGCACTGAGGCAGCATTTGCATACGCAGCTGGCGGCCCATTAAGGGCGGCGAACGGTGACCGGAAAGGAGGGCCACCCCCACCCCTCGGTTTTGTCAACAGTGGGATCTATACAAAGCGCATTGCTTAATTGTAATGCAGTTGCACCGATACTTCGCACCTTACAGCTTGTGCAAAGCGTATTTGAGAAAATAGCTCAAGGTCATAGCAGATAGGTGAAATATGTGTGATTTGTTTGGTGCACTCTGCTGAAAGTGTCAATTAATCATAAGTTTTTTTCGGTGTGGACTGCTGACCTAAAATGAGCCATCATCTGTCAGTCCAATGTCAGCGGCTCAGCTTCTAGAAATAAGTCAATCGACAGTTGGATCCTAAAAATGTGATTGCTAGTGATTGCATGACAGATTCAATTATGCTGTAGTTGTGGATCGCGAGTGGTTTAGATCTACAAGTGTAGCTCATTTGGGTCATGACCTGACAATGATTTGACCAGTTGCACTGTTAAGCGGTCACGTTCCTAAATAACTGTCGTTAATGCATGTGTAGTAATGTGAAGCACGTGATACTAATTCACAATAAATTGCAAAAACATGTCAATATTATCGGCAAGAAAACTCATTAGCTCAATTCCTGATGTACGTACCGCTTAACGAGCGCAGTTCATTAGTTTCTTGACCCGCGCTCCCACTGTAGGTTGTTGCCCAGTGCCCACCCCTGGTGTAACCTGCATTCGTGCTGTCAGCTGCGGGTTGACCGGCTTTTGGTCGGATGCAGGCGGGTTGGGTACGGGAGAGGCAGGTCGCATGAGACACTCATTTCAGATGCTCTAACTTTATCTAATCAATCATGATGTCTTATTTCATAATCATTCGAAGTGAAAACTCGTAATCCGGATTGTAAAGCCTTTTCAGCAGGGCTGCGGAGTCGATGGATTTTCGACGACTCCGACTCCGACTCCGACTCCGGCTTTCAAAAACCAGCTCCGACTCCGACTCCGACTCCGGGCAGAATTGTCGACTCCGACCGACTCCAACTCCCGACTCCGACTCCGCAGACCTAGCAGGGCTGCGGAGTCGACAGATTTTCGGTGACTCCGACTCCAACTCCGGCTCGGGTTTCTAAAATCGACTCCGACTCCGACTCCGACTCCGGTCACAACTGTCGACTCCGACCGACTCCGACTCCGACTCCGACTCCGACTCCGCAGCCCTGCTTTTCAGATCGTGAGAGGTTATGAACGGTAAAGTAAAAGTTTAAATCTCACCTTTAAAAAAGAAGAAAAACACAACGCAATCTGGGATATCTGTCAGCCACTGCTCTGACACGCAGTGTGCCGTTACCGGTTGTGGACCGGGTAAGTCATGAAACTTCCATGAAGCACGCTCGCAATCGCATGCAGATGTTTCGGGGGGGTTAGCCTTTACTGAGCTTCGGGATTTTCAGTAACATTTCACATGCAGTTCGTATTAGGTATATAATCCATTCTTGAACTTTGAACGAAGTGTCGAGATGTCATAGCCGAGGAGCATACCTTTCAACTCCCCTTCCTTTTTTTAAAACTAAACATCCCAAGTAAAGTGCCTAAATAACAATCCATTCAAAAAATGTCTAACAATCAAATAGCCGGCCTTTCACAAATGTCCCACGGCTCCGTACTCCAAGCGTTCCTCGGTGAGTTCTCACCGCCCCTGACCGCTGTCAGCAGCCCAGGCATCCTCTGCCGACGAGCTCCGAACATCTGACCTTCTCGTTAACCCAGCTTCAGTTGTTACAACACTCAGACATCTCCTCCCAGTCGTGTCCCGCCCGTAATTCAAAGCCCGCACGGACAGCCGGCGATTCGCGGCCCTAGCCCCTAATCACGACATGAAGACGTGACGTGACGCTCTGCTGGACGTGACGTGACGCTCTGTAGAGACGTGACGTGACGCTCGACTGACCTGACCGTGCCGCCGGTTCGCTCTACATCTCCGGAGCCGG